TTTTGTCTTTTTGTCTTTTTTCCGTGTCCGGCAACGGATCGCAACCCTCAGTGTTGCCCCCGTACCGGACCGGGGACCGGCAACGGGATTGCAAGCCTCGGTGTTGCTCCCGCACCTCGCTCAGCCAGTGAGCGGGAGCCGGTCTGTATGTGGGATCCGAACCCTCGGACGGGAGCGCCACCGCGCTTCCCAAGCGACGCACTATCCAGTGCGCCACCGGGCCGGCCCCAAAGTGCTTTTCTTTATTAACATATTTAACTCTTACAAGAACCCTATGAGGTAAGCCTATAACTATTTCCATTTTAGAGATAAGGAAACTCAGACACAGAGTTCAAGCAACTTGTCCAAGTCACACAGCTAGTCAGTGGCAGAGCTAGAATTAAAGCCATTCTTAATCCACACCCTAGAGTCCCTCTCTAAATATTAAAGACCATTAGCAAACTGACACAGAATACCTACTATGCTCTAGGCATGGTCTAAGTTGTAGCTGGCACTTAAAGGTAACATAGAGGCAGAGGTGTGCTGGTAAATGCTTTACATCTGGCTCTCCGGGGTGGTATGCAGGGGGGTGATGCAGAGACAATATGATTTGTAGTGTTTACCCATTGCTGTGGTTCAGATGTCACTGACTATGGAATTGGGAAGAAATGTGCCCAGTGGGCTCTGATGTGTTGATATGAGCTAGCTTCTGTTCACCACCAGATACAGCCCTTGCTCACTTGTGACTCGCTGCCTAGTGTCAGAGATCACAGCAAATTCCATCATAAATGTGCAGGCCAGTAGTTGTGGCAGAACAGAAAAGTGAAATCTGTTTCCTAAAACAATAAGAGTGTTGAGAGGCTTTGGATATTTAAGGTTCTGCTCTGGGTTGGGATTGTGAGAGGGCCAACAAAATCACATTTCAGCACTTGGAAAGTGTAGCCCAGAGCAGGAGGCCACTTTTGAGATCAAGGACAGGAGCCCAAAGACCTTCCTGCCCTCAATAATTTCCCCACAGGTAACTTCCTTCAGCTCATGAGAGGAGGGTTAGAACATGTGAAGGGGGCTACTGGTCTGTAGCGAGTGGCAGGAAATTCTCTAGAAAATCGGAAGACCTGTACTTGACCTGGGGTGGGGAGAGAAAGAAGGGAAGGGACAGTCGAGTTGAGGACTCATGAGGCAGTGTCACAGCACGTCGCACCTGTGGGGTGCTTGGGTACTCGGGTGAGGGACAAGATGCGTGGTGATTCTTTGTGCTACCTACTTTAGGTACCAGCAGAGCTTCTGTGGGGTCAACTTGTCCAGTCTCCAGGGTGTGGCAGTGGAGGATTACTTCGGACAGCCAATAGTAGTAAGTGCGCTCTCTTTACAGGAGAAATCCCATGTGTTTACATATCGATTCACTCACTCACTCACTCATTCACCTGGCATGCACTGTGCTGCCAGGTTCTGTGCTAAGCCATCACAGAAGAGGAGAAAGAAGCATCATGTTTTCAAGTCTCCTAGTTTTGATCTCCCAATCAATTAAGAAAATTGTCAGAGTGATACTGTTGAAAGCAAGGATATTTTGTAACTATGTATCAATAAGTAACTTGTAATTCCCCCATTGCCCTGACCCACTCCATACACACCACACACTCAGTCCTTACACTTGTCCAGTAATTCACATCTTTCATTGATTCTAGTGGCCAAAGCCTAAGAGAAGAGGAAGCTTAAAGCAGGAGCTTTGCTTTAATCAGATTTGGGTTCCAGTTGTGGCCCCATCTAGCTGTGTAATCTTTGGCAACTTTAAGTTTCCATCATCTGAAACTCTTACAGTTGTAAGTGGAAGAAAACCCAAACCAAACTGGCTTCAGCTAAAAATGGAATGACTGTCCCTCAAAAATTGCAAAGCCTGGAGACAGAGCATGCTTCAGGAACCTTTTGCAGGAGCTCAGACAATGTCCCCATGATCTGATTTTTCTAACCTCATTACATATTCACTTCCTCTGATTTAACTCGTTCCCAGACAATCTCTCCCCTCAGGGTAGCAAGATGGCTGCAGAAGATTCAGCCTCCAATTTTTACAACCTTAAATTCTAGAGAAGCTGCTTTTCCTAATAATTAAGGCAAAAGTCCCAAATTTAGTTTAGATATAACCTGATTGTCCCACCTTGGATCATGTGCCCATCTGTGAACCAATCGCTATCTACAGGGGGAAAATAATAATGCTCTGATTGGCCAAGCTGGGGTCACATGTCACACCTGTTGCTGAGGGTCAACTAAGTTCACGTGGAACTTCTTATAATATCGGGGAGAAGTAAATCCTCACCCTTGAGTGAATTCCGGATAGTCAAAAAAAGACCAAATGCCTGCTTCAAAAATGTTGCAAGGAGTAAATGATATAACCTAGTAAAGCACAAAGCACTTAGTGTTTAGCATATAGCAAATGCTCAATAAATGTTAGTTTTATCATTAATATTATTCTTACTCAGCTCATGCCTTCTAAACCCTAACTCCTGTTGACTTAAAATTGCAGGAAGAAAGCCAAACTGCAAACTTGACTGAGTTCGGTTTATCTTGACAGAAAGATGACATCTTTGATCTTTTTCTACATGGACACATTTGATATTAGGATTTTGATGGCTTGGACAGTCAAATACACAGTAAACTTTATGGATACAAAAGAGGAAGATCTACACAGGTTTATAGAAATCAGTGCTGCTCTTGACTTTTAAGATCTTCTCTCAGCATTTCAATCCAAAAACTTCAATGCAGACTTTTTCTGTCTGCTCACAGAGGAGAGAAATTTTAGCTGTGAGTCACATACAGGTATGGTGCATCAATACTAGTTTCATTTATTGCAAAATAAGAAAAATGATGTCTCCTTTATAGGATTATCTTAGGAATTGAATGAGAAAAAATAAATAGTAATAACACAGCTTGTACTTATTTAGCCAGATACTGTCTGATCCCTTTACATATAATAACACATTTAATTGTCACAATGATCTTATGTGAATGGTACTATTGTTATCCCCATTTTACAGACAAAATTGAGGAAGAATGGGACAATAAGTTGCATAAGGTCACAGAACTAGTAAGTGTGTTAGAGCTAGGATTTGAACTTTCAGAAGGCTCCAAAGTCTGGGCTTCTGACTCCAAAGCAGAGTCAGAAGGCACTCTGTTTTAATGCCTCTCAAGAGAGAGCATACATGTGAATGCCCCCAGGCTAGTGAATGTAATAATCACAAGAAGAAGAGCTATGTCTTGTTGAGTGCTTGCAACTTACTAGGTATTGTGCTAAGTGTTTTATAGGCACTGGCTCATTTTCAAAGAGGGCACTCAATGGATGTTAGTTTTTGTCCTCTTTCCATCCATTTGAAGGGACTCTGAAATGAGGACTCATGCCTTGACTTTGTTCCATTTTCTTAGATGGGGATGTGAATCCCCTTTGAGTGATCTTTCACTAGTATTTTGTCCTTTTCTCCCTGAAAAGATCAATATTGCTTTTTTTTTCCTGGATAAGAAAGTTAAGATCTAGCCAGGTTGTAATTTGCTTGGAGCTACTGAGGAAGCAAGGGTCAGACTTTAGAAAGTGCAGCTGGCTAGCTCAAAAAAATCATCCATCTTGAGATCATGACACACACAGGTTATTCTGTATTGGTTAGAATAGGCTAGAGGACGCTGCAGTAACAAAAAGAAACATCATTGTCTTATAATAGTGCGGGTGTCTCTCTCGCCTACTGTTTATCCATTGTGCACCAGCTTTAGCTCTACCATGTGTCACCCACACCAGTAAGCTGGCTGATGTGGCAACTGCTATTTGGAATAAGGCTGGTCATGGAGGAGAAAGAATGAGCATGACCAAGTATGCACTGGCAGTTAAAGTTTCTGCCTGGAATGGCACAAGTCACTTCTGTTCACGTGGACTTGGCCAAAGAAAATCACGTGGCAGTACCTGAGCTCAAGCGGGTGGAGAAATGCAGCCCCACCCTAAGCAGAGAGCAAGAGAACTGGCATTTGGGAACAACTCTAATAACTACCAAAGGTCCTGACAAAATGGACTTCCACTAGCTTTATTTGTTGCTCTAGGACACCTCCTGATGCCTAGGAAATTCTCTGAAAATTATGTCTATGTTGGCTTTCCAGAGATATCATTGACTCTGCAAATGTTTATTGATATTCTACTATGTGCCAGGCACTGTGTTGGTGCTTGCACCAATACAAAAAATAATTTCTTAAAAGTCTTTATCTTTAAGGAGTTCATAGTCTATTTAGGGGGATGCAAACAAATGAGAAGAAATAATCACTGTACAAGACCAATAAATTCAATGTGACAAATACAATGGAAAACTCTAGAAAGGCTTTGATTGCTGCAGGGTAAAAGAAGCTAAACCTATAGAGGCACCATGAATGCAAATAACATACAATTTTCTTTGAATATCTCTAGAGCGCTCAGTAAAATAAGACTGCTCCGAGTGATACAGCCCCAGTAATGGACCAATTATACCACTTTTTAATTATGAAATACTTTAAAGTTTGCAAAACACTCTTATATACATTTGTTTCCCATTTGACACGCACAAGCGTCTTGTGAGGGAAGTAGAAGAGAGGTTTTTGTCACCCTTCAACAAATGGGGATACCAAGTTTCAGAGAATTTAAATGACTTTCCAAGGTTCCACAGCTAAAACAGGTTCAGCATCTAGATTTTGTTTGTATCTTTTCCAATATTATTTCCATTTCTGCTTATTCTGCATTTGTCATAAACCATGGCCACTTCTGCATGACTCTTGCTGTAGCCTGGTGAGAAGTTAAATTGCCTCCCTGAAAAAATAAATGAACTGTGACAATGACCTTCTGGGCCCAATGTTCCCCTTGTGATCCACTCCACCTGTGTTCTGAGTCATCCTCCTCCTCAGTGGTCAAATCCAGCTCCGCATGCTACACTCATCCTTTGTTGTTCTGGGTCATTGCAGCACAGTAGTGTGGTCCTTGCAGGATTTTGTCAAGAAGCAAGCTTCTCAGATATGCAGTGTCACCCAAGAATTAATCATGCACTGAGAGAAACTTGCTGCCAAGGCAAAAGTGCTTAAGGAAAAGAAAATATTCTGCAAATGCTCCTACTGATCTCACAAATGTATTTAGTGTACCTGTCAACAGCAACAGAAAATAATTCCAATGTTTTTTCCTTTCTTTCTTTTTTTTTTTTTATTTCCTTGCAGAGTAGAAATCCCCTTTGTGTTTCAGATGGTACAGTCTGGCCTTATCCAGGGACTGGCATTCTGGTTTGATGTGGCCTTTGTTGGATCTCTGTATGTATCCCCCCCACCCCCACCCCTTCTTAGTCTACTCTATCCCATGATATCCTCTAAAAGGGTGCTTCAAAACTTTCATGGAAAAATAAAATTAAAAGACAATACAACTCTTTCTATGAGTATCCCCCCCACCCCCACCCCTTCTTAGTCTACTCTGTCCCATGATATCCTCTACAAGGGTGCTTCAAAACTTTCATGGAAAAATAAAATTAAAAGACAATACAACTCTTTCTATGAACCTCTTGATAAATACCCTCATGCTATTTGTAAACACACTTTTAAAGTTTTTAAGGATTAATTTCAACAACACTAATACTTGTTTCTCCAGTTTTCAAGGAAATAAACACAGCTGTTAATGTTACTTTTAGATTATAGGGTGAAGTGAAAATGAGACAGTTTTCCATGTGTCATATCAACTCCGACTGTAAAACCTGTTAGGCCAACTGGATTGAGCTTTGGAGGAGTAAGAGACGGCTTGTGCTTTACTAACCTTCCTGGTCTTTTCCAGAATAGATGGGATGGAACCCCAAGCCGCCCTGCCTTTGCTTCTGACACACCTGGCTATACAACCTCTTGCATCTGGATGCTTTCCCCAGAATCGTACTTTCCCCACTTTGTTTCACAGTCTAGAATCCTTCTTTAATGATCAGGCAGGCATGTACCAGGGAACTTCCACAATTTCATGGGAAAATAGAACTAAAAGACAATACAAATCTTTCCATGAACTTTTTGAAGTACTTTTGTGTTACTAATACTAATTGAAACATTAGGTAACTTCTCCATCTGTGCATTCCTTTTCTCCCTACTGCACAGGTTTGAAAAAACCACCTACAAGTTGGCTGTCAGTGTTTGGTGTTCCTTGTGCAGGCTGCACCATTCCCATGACCCCCGAATCTCTGTTCTCTTCCTGACTTGCCTAGTCTCTTCCCAGGCTTCCTCATGTGTCCCATGCCCAGGCAAAGGAAGACTTTTATAGTATACTCTCATTGACTCCCTGTGAGAACGTTCAGGCTTATTGTACCTGCTTAGAAAGAAGTGTCTGTGGAGTGTGATAAAGCTCAGGAGGGTTGGGGAGACTCAAGAGAGGAGGGGACTACGAAAACCTTGTTCATACTGACAACCAGAAAGAAGGAAAATGATGCATAAATCATTTCTACTTTAAGTAAGCATATTTGTTAAATAAATCCATACATTTGCTTATCCCAGTAATATCCCACATAAATGAATTTGTTCTGCAAAGGTAAGGGAGACAAGCTTGAAGTAGCCTTCTTCAAGGGAGGTTTCTTGAAAGTTAAATGCTTTATCTCGAAAAATTGAGAAAATTCACATTCTACTTTATATTTGAGTATATTTTGATATGAAAGTGGTTTATGTTGCTTAGAAGTTGCTAAGTTCAATTATACAAAAATTTGCCCCTAAATCTTCTCTTGCATCCAGAAGCCCCTTCAGGACCCCTGAAGAGGTTGGCATGAGACAGTAAGAGACCAGACTCCAGACTTCTCCCCTTGCCATGCTTGTCAAATAAATTAGTTGCTAATTTAACTGTTACTCATTGGGCTTCTAATGAACTTTGCTTCAGAAATACAGGTTGACAGCATAGCCAAATCCATGGGTCTGAAGCCTGGCTCTCCACTTGTCCTCTGTGTGATGTTGGGCAAATCATTTAACCTGTCTGGGTTTACTTCACAGGGTTGTTGTGTAAATTGAATGGGATGATACACATAAACTCTTACTTCAGTACCCAACACATGGTAATTGCTCAATAAATTGAGCTATCCTTATCTTAAAAGGGTTCCATGAGTCAAAAAGAATGAAAACCACTTACCAACCTCAGTCCCCAGTCCAACCCATTAGTGTGGGTCTGGCACGTAATTGGTTTTGAACTCTTTTCTTGCCCCACAGGGTAACGGTTTGGCTGTCAACAGCCCCAACTGAGCCTCTGACGCATTGGTATCAGGTGTGGTGCCTTCTTCAGACTCCCCTCTTTGCCAAGGAAGGGGAGACTGTCTCTGGGACAGTGCTGTTTGTAGCCAATAAACAGTAAGCAGGAAAGTAGGACAGATGTGCTTTCACCCCTGATTAGTGGGCACTGAGGGGTGGGTGCAGGAGGAAGCTGTCAGGCCTCTGAGACTCCACACCTACATTATGCATGCAAGCTTTACAAAAGCGTGGCTGAGTTTGCCCAGGTGCCCTCTGCTGAAAAGCCTGCAGGCAGGTTTCATCCTTGCACTGAGTGTGGCAAGGAACAGGAGCTTCCCGTGACTCAGGGGCAGCCTTCTCTACCTTACCACAGAGGTAGGAAAGAAATCCAGCAGCTTATGGGAGCACTTGCCACAGGACTGAGTTATCAAGCGGTTAAACCCAGGTCAGCTTGCTGGACTGACTGACATCTGTCTAGCCACACATTCCCAAATTTAGTATAATAAAACCAATTTGTTCTGCAGGGAAGAAAAGCACTTCAGAGGCAATATGTGGTGAGTCAGGCAGGACCAGCTGCTTCCTTATGGTAATTGATTTCCAAAGGTCTCTGCAATGATTACCTTGATTTATCTCATTTTTAAAATGCTCTATTTTTGTTTCACCTTGTGGGAGCTTCTGCTGTGTGAGTTAGAGGAGGGCGGGGTGGTGGGGTGGTTCCAGGACTCAGGGTACTCAGGTGCTCAGAGGCCATCTCATTCAACTTTTCCCCTCCCTGCCTCCCGCTCTTCTTCAGGCCTGTGCTTGAACACTCCAGTGACAGAGAGCTTACCACCTCAGGGTACTCAGGTGCTCAGAGGCCATCTCCTTCAACTTTTCCCCTACCTGCCTCCCGCTCTTCTTCAGGCCTGTGCTTGAACACTCCAGTGACAGAGAGCTTACCACCTGGCAAACCAACCCTTCCTTTTTAAAGTCTTTATTTCTCTAATTACAAAAGCCTAACTTGCTTACATATAAATTCAGAACTATGAAAGTGTACAGAGTCCTTCTATACTCCCACCCCTCACCTGCTCTCCTGATGTGACGTTTTGATTTGTATGCTTTCAGGTGATTTTCCGTGCAAGTACCAAGTAACATTGCTGTGAGGTTTGTTTTTGTTTTACAAGATTACACTAGCAGTCTGAAACTTAATTTTTTACTTAGTAATATGTTCTGGATCTGTACGGGTGGCTCTTCTTTGTTCTTTTTAATACATGCATAATAGTCCAGAGCATGGATATATCATAATGTCTTTTCATTTTTATTTATTTGTTTTTAACTTCTCAATATACATTGTAGTTGATTTTCATGACTCTTTACCCATTCCTCTCGACCCCCTCCTTCTCTCTCCTCCCCCCACATTAAATCTCTTCACTTGTCTTAACAAGTTCAAGGAATTGTTGTGATTGTTGTGTCTTCTTCCCCCCATCCTTTATTTGTCTGTGTTTTTTATTTATTTTTAGGTCCCACAAATAAGTGAGAACATGTGGTATTTCTCTTTCTATGCCTGACTTGTTTCACTTAATATAATTTTCTCCAAGTCCATCCATGTCGTTACGAATGGTCTTGTACACTGTTAGTGGGACTGCAAAATGGTGCGGTCTTTATGGAAAATGGTATGGAGGTTCCTCAAACAATTACAGATAGATCTACCATATGAC